TGCTCTCCGATGCATCCATCAAAGTGTGAATTTGTGTGAATATTAGAAAGCACTTCAGCATAGAAAAAATTGCTTGTATGAATGGGTGGATGAGGCATGTTGTATAAAGAGTAGAGTAGAAATGTGCTCTATAATAACCAGTCCATTTACCGTTCTCCTTTACTGCTGTATTTTCCCAGTCATCTGCTAACTCTTCCTTACCACCCAGAGCCCATCTCAACTCTTCCCTGAAATCTGTGCAACATTTTTCCTTCTTCGTTTTCCACCATTTAATCCATTTCTTTGCATATACACAGTATAGAAAGTAGACGTTCGCTTCTGAATCTGAATGGACACAAAAGTCATCAGACAGTCACAAAGTAAGAATGTTCATCTGTTCTGCATGTATGTGAACAGTTTTTTTTTTGTTCCGGTTAGCTTAAAATAAACTCTATTCAGCGTTACTACTTTGCCCTAGTTTAATTTAACTGGTTTAAGCAGAACTATGCAGGACCTATAGAGTTATAAACCAAACAAACACATTTTTCCCAAGTGTGTTTAATAAAGCTTTCCTTGTTTGTATTTAAGTTTTCCAGCCAACGTCTGTGGAGGAAACAATTAAAGGAAATAGTTCTTTTTAAGGTCCTAACAGGGGAGTCTTGGACCACATATCTTGGACTGAATTTTCCTAAGAGAGACACCGTTCTTCTAACTTTCATGTTCATAGTGGGTTCAGGCAGCTGTTGTTGTTTGAGCAGTTGTTACCTTATGCATTTGTCCCTATGTGCATTTGTCAGCTTGTACACGCAGTGCTGAAGATACGTACTGCAGCGGAAACTGCAACAAAAAGCATTTGTCACCTCAACAATTCAAAATATAGTCACAAAATTTTACAGTTGTGCAGCTGGGGCCAAGATGAAGGTCGAGTTTGAGTTTGAGGTCATAAAATGTAAGCAGGCTAGTTGACACACAGACTTTTCCCACTTTATTCCTCTGTTTCACTGTGGGTTTTGTCATTTTTAAATTAATAGTGCAATTTACATCTCCCCCTTTTCTTTATCTGCTGTATGAACGCAGTTGACAATTTATTTTGGCACACCAGATACATCTGATAGACATTTTATTAATATAGTGGCAACTCCCCACAGGAGGTATTTTTATCCGATGTGTAAAAGTACATTTTTAAAGGTGGGTTTTGTCTGTCTCACTGACATCTGCCTATCCGGTCTTAATTCTAGCCCAGGACTTAAAGCAAATGAATGCCACTCGTGACAACAGCAGCAGTTAAATTTAGATGTAGGACAAAAGTCTGGCTACAAGTTTGCAACAGTTTGTAAAACTGGCACATAAGCTTGGAGCTATTCTGGAAAGTTCCCTCCTTTTTCTTGCTGCTGCTGCTGACCTTAACTTTAAAAACAAAACTGCTGCTCTCACAGCTTTCGAACAGCGACAAGCCCAGCAGCCTAATACTGTAAGTCAATCACCCAGTAACTGAGTGACGTATGTTTCACTTCCTTTCTCTGTTATTTCTGGATATATGTGTTTGTGTGCAGAACAATAAACTTCATGATGCTGCATTGTTAAGAGGAAATACTGGCCCACTGGCCACGGAGATGTTTGTACCTGCTACAGGGCAGAATAGCTCTGTACTGTGAAGTGTGTAGAGTCAATATGGAGTTACTACCTAGTAGATG